AGCACTCAACTCCAGAATTGCCGAACGCGTTACACAGCTGGCGAATGATGGGGGCCAGCGCAGGAGCGAAGAGTAAGACATGCAGCCCGCGCCCTTGAAACATGCCACAATGTCAAAATACGCGGAGCATCGGGGCATCGCCTGGAAACGCGGTCGCGACTGCCAGACCAGATCGCGCGGCGCCTTCACTACCGTGCAAAAGGCCCCAGGGAGGTTGAGGCCCTCGAGGATCATCAGCATGCGCCGCTGGCGAAGCGACGGAAACGCTCGTCCGAAGCCGAGGCTGGCAAGTGCAGGGAGGGGCATGGCCGTCGGGATCGGGTCGGAGGTCTGCCCGTCGAGCCTCCACGCCCTCTTCCAAGATGTCTCCAGCGAAAGCTCCGCGCGCACCGACACCTCGCTGAGGCGCGGGGGCACTCGACGCAACGACAGGAGCATGCGTGATTTTGACACCAGAGCTGCAAGCCAACTGTCCTGATCTCGTCAGCGCTGCGCACGGCGCCGTCGAGCTCGGAGCCGTCTGCCGGGATACCTCGGAGCAGAAATGCTCGGCGCGCATCGCCAGCTTCGCGAAGGAGGCACTGCCCTGACATCATCCACGCACACGCAGCCCATCTCACGCCGCAACCGCATGGCGTCGCAATCCTAGCCCAACATGGGACCTCACCGGTACCAGTGGCGAACTTCGACCGGGCCAGCCAGCGGGCGACCTTGTCCAACATCTCCTGGGGCGGAGGGGCAGCAGAGGTCGGATTGCACGGGCGAGGAGGCCCTCCAGGCACAGGCTGCACATGTCTGCATTGAAAGGGATTGCCGCCAAGACAGGGGTCCACAACAGCAAAAGCACATCGATCTTGCCATGCTCGCCCCCCTGCACTTCGCCTGCAGCCCGAATGCTTCTAAATCGCAGCTGCCCAGCAAAGGGCGCCCAGAGTTGGGCGCGCCTCTCAGCGGCAGATCTCGCCGAGAATGTTCCCTCAGGCCCCATCGATATCATTTTCTGCGCCCATCAATCTCTCGGCCAGATGCACTCAAACGAGCCCACTTCGTTCAATATCGGAATCGCTCGGAGCCCATGGAGAAGACTTTCCGCTCGCGCAGATCGACATCCAAGCGCGCATTCAGTTCACCGTTGGACCAGATGGACTTCGTCAAGTCCTGTCTTGCTGCCAGACAGCTCTGGCCGCCTGGCTAGCGCACGTGAGTTGGCTCGAATGGCCCACGGTCGCTCGCCGACCTCGCCTCGAGCGCGGTGTCGGCCGTCTCGCGGGCTCGCCCCGTGAATCCTGGCGCGCGAGGAGACGGCGCCATCTGTTCCACTGTTCCAAGCGCGAGTTCAGTTTCAGTCGGCTGGTCCAGAGTAGCGGCGACCTCCACTCTCCCGAACACAGCTCGCGGGATGGGGGGCGCCCCGGCGGGCGCGCGCGACCTCGGCTCCGGGGCAGCTCGCGCGCGCCAGCGCGCGCCGAGATGCCAGCGTCAGCACGGGCGAAGAAACTTCCCCGCCAGGAACGGCGACTTGCTACGCGATCGCCAGCAGCGAGCCCGGCCGCCAAGTTGCAGATGCAAGTAGGCCTCTCGCAAACCATTTCAGTCCCGCGCCGCAGACGCCCCCCCAAACCCCGCCCACTTCTTCCGACGCAATCGGCATAGGTTGGAAGGGGCAGTTGCCCTCGCAACGCGGCAACCAAACATGTGATCAAGAAAAATGAGCAATTAAGAAAGCTGGGCCAGCTTTGCATAAGTTTCAAGGAAACGCTGGGCCAGCTTCTGGGGCCAGGAACATGCGCTATTCATTTCCAGGATCTAAGGCTACCAACCCCCTGAAGAAGCTGAGCCAGCTTTCCGGCAAGCTGGCCAAGAAACGCTGGGCAAGCTTTTCGGGGGGAGGTCTCTTAATCATAAGTGGGACCGTAGCCTCAGGGTGGGGCAGATGCATCGCGGCGGCGGCGCAAGTTGAAATCACCTGCCACGGAAGTCACGCGACGTTGCGGATCACTCCTGGCCCGCGCAGTACAGGCATGGTCATCGCAGCAGTAGTGGGCTGGGCAAGTCGCCGGGGGTGCCCCAGGCGCGTTCGCTGAAGTCTCTGGCCCCCGCAGTGCCATAAAGCTCGCGGCGCCCCCCCCCCCCCCGCCCCCATCGCCGCCGCCGCCGCCGCGCCCGTCCGCCCCGCCCCCCGCCCTCCAGCGGCTGATGCGCGAGAAGCGACAGGTGTTGTAGTAGCTGCGCCACCTCTGGCCCTCTGCGCACGGCCTCGAAAGGGCGGAAATCGCAAGGCGAAGAAATGGGCGACCTGGGGTGTGCACATTTTGAACTGTCCGGGAGAACGGTGAACTTCTTGAACCGCTAGAATGGAACTCTGAGTGGCCCCAGGTTGAAGAAACGTGGCTTCCTACATCGATGCGAAGCCGCTCCACCTCAAAAGAGCCCCGAGATTTCCATGCCCCATATGTGATAGACGATCCCCGAGCAGCCAGCGCACCAGACAGCGCCGTCGCGACAAGACATGCTAACGCGTCAAAGAGACCACTCTGCAGCCGCGCTGGGTGCCGCAGTATCTTGAATGATGTACTTGATCTGCCGCCTTGTCCACTCCTTGTCGCGAAACGCCCCATCCACCCACTGCACCTCAGTCGGTCGAGGGTCGACCTTGAGGAACCGCGCCCACCCCTCAGACACACGCCCGTTAGACACGGTCAGACATCATTGTTCGTCGGCGAACGTGTCTTTGAGTGCACCAACCACCGACTTCCACTGTCTTTCTGTAACGGATATGGCACGGGTTCTGGTCGGAACTGGCATGCAAATGGGCTTGATCATGGCCTTCAACAGCAGCGGGCATTAAGAAACGCATCCATCCGTTCGGGCCCTTCCTTGGGCGCCCCGAAAGAATGCTGACTATGCACGCCCCTTGTGTCTTGAAGGTCCGCGTCACGCAGGCACGGGAAGAGTCAGTAACGAACATCAGCACGCCTGACCAGCGCCGCTCCTGACACACGACGGATCGTAGCATCAATCTCGCGCTTGAACGACATGCCCAGACTCTTGGGAAGAGCAGGTGCTTGTCTGGCCATGGCGAGCCCCTCCCGTAGAATTTCCGTGTGCTGCTGCATATCACGGACGGTTTGCTTATCTTGGCTGACATGTTGGTCATGCTCACGAATGCGGGCGTCCACCGCGCCGATACGCTTCTGCATGCGCTTGTCGAGGGAGCCGAGGTCGCTGCGGAAGTCCGCCTGGGCGGCAGCGGACGCTGCATAGGGTGCACCATTTTGAGCGAGTTGTGAGGCTGCCATAGCTTGGTCCACTGGGGCGATTGATGTCTCCACTGCTTCATCTGCAGATTTGGCCATCGCTGATTGGAGCTATTGCTTCGCGATCTCCTGGTTGTTCATGGGCAATCCCTTGAGGACATTCCGGATGTGTACAACTTGTTATTCTAAGCCGGCGTCGTCAATGAGGGGGCCGTCATCTTCATGTGCTGCTGCACCACAACTGGCAGACCTACTAAGTACACTGCCACGAAGAGCTGTGTTAAGAGTCTTGACACCATTTACAATATTGTCCGTGCGTCTCGCCGCCAAGGCATGGACATACGCCGCAGACCGCCATCGTACGCAGAGACAGCTAATTTGACTGTACAATGCTGGCACGCGGGGTTAAGCTGAACAGCCTCTGCACATCCGCGGATCAGTGGTAGCCACTTGCTGTCAAGGACAACCGTATGTCTTGATCCAAAATGGTTACAGACTGGGGAAGACGGAGGAGAAGGCGGAAGAGGAGAAGGAAAGGAATGAGGAACAGGAGACGAAGAGGACGAGGACGACGACGACGATGGGAGGAGAGGGACGAGGAAATGGAGCACGAGGAAGACGAGCGACAACGAAGCAGGCTCACGGCGATGAGCCGACAACGCCCGCAAGCGAGAGCAAGAGGAGGAAAACGAAGAGGAGGAAGAGATAGAGGAGGAGTTGCCAAACGAGAAGGTGGAGGAGAAAAAGGAAGCAAGAGGACGAGCACGAGAAGGATGGCGAGAACTGAGATAGGAGGGGAGGGGAGGAGGAGGAAGAGGAGGAGGAGGAGGAGGAGGAGGAGGAGGATAATAATAATAAGAAAAAGAAGGAGGGAGAGGGGAGGATGACAATCTAGGTGCGCTCGCGCCATATCTGACATCCAACCCCTCCCTCCCATCGCTTCCTATTGCGGTGATGTTTCTCTATCCGCAGGCGCGTGTCATAGCCGACCTGGAACTCCACAAAAGACCACAACGTGCTATGCGCAGTCGGGCATGGGAAGCCTGCGGGTCCTGTTGTGCAACATGAGGGACCTCTGTGGCCTGTGGGTCCTGTGAAACCTGAGACACACGTGGGACCTGTGGAACTTGTGGGACCTGTGAAAACTGTGGAAAATGCCGGACCTGTGAGACCTGCGAGTCCTGTGGGACCCGTGGCACCGGCGGGACCTCTGGGACTGGGAGACCTCTGTGGGACCTGCGAGACATGCGGCACCTGTCGGACCTGCGGGACCTGTCGGACCAGTGAAACCTGTGGGGCATGCGAGACCTGCGGCACCTGTGGGAACTGTGGACCCTGTGAGACCGGAGGTACCTGTGGGGCCTGTGGGACGACCTGCGAACCCGGTGGGTCCTATGGGACCTGTGGGACCTGTGGGGCCTGCGAGGCCTGCCATTCTGAACGACGGGAGCACAGCGCCGATCCGAAAATGATACCCACGCTTATGCGAGAGCACTACGTTTTGAAAAAATAGCGAGTTATCGGAGTAGAAAAACGACACGAACAAAAACACACTTCGCGCTAATCATGTGTAAAAAAACGCGGAGGGGGGCGAACACTCTCAGGACACATTCGCGTAAGAGAAGAGAGCAGTACGGATTTATGGAGGGGGAGGAGGGACACGATGGGAATGGGGAGATAGAGGAGCAGCAGCTGGAGCTCGCACGCAGGAGGGGGGGAAAGGCGCACGGCGCAGACCGGCACCTCCAGCGGCAGGTACGGCGCCTCCAGCGCGTTGTACGTCTTGCGATCCGGCGAGGGGAGGGACCTCGCCCGCGGCCTGTGTTGGGGAGGCGGGGCCGCGCGGCAAGATATCCGACCTCCAGCACCTCCTCGTGTTCACCCCTCACGCTCCTCCCTCTCCTCCTCCTCCTCCTCCTCCTCCTCCTCCTCCTCCTCCTCCTCCTCGTCATCATCATCATCATCATCATCATCATCATCATCATCATCATCATCATCATCATCATCATCATCATCATCATCATCATCATCATCATCATCAGCATCATCATCATCATCATCTCCTCCTCGTCATCATCATCATCATCATCATCAGCAGCAGCATCATCATCACCATCATCATCACCATCACCCCCTTCACTTCAAGCTCTCCTCCTCGCGCTCCCCATCATCACTGTCGTCATCACCATCACTATACATCCTCCTCGTCGTCGTGAAATTTCTCCTCGTTCCCATCCGCTTTCCTCATAAGTAACTCCTCCCAATCGCACAACCAAACATGCCCGTAGGCCAGTCTAGACGCTTCGGTTGAGATCACGAAGCTCAGCAGTTCCAGCAGCTACACGGATGTGGGGGGTCCTTTTCAAGTTGTGGCTCTCGCCTTCGCGCCGAGAAACATTACCTGACAGACTTGCAACCGCTACACGGATAGAGGCTAGGCTCTTTCAAAACGGAGGCCTTGCATCATCGCAGCCCTCATTCCTCATTAGCCATACGAACCTGCATCCGGTATACGGATGGAGACCGGCACGTGCTTGACGCGGTGCTCTCGCCTGGAACTTTCACGAACCTCACGAACTTAGGCTTCAGTGCGTGTGTAACAGCTGCCCGGATGAATGGCACCTCCATGCCAATATGAAGACACCGCGTGGGATTGCATTGCGTAATGCGGGATGACGATTAATAAACAAATTGGAGAGAACGATGAAGAAAATAGTTTGCTGCTATTTCTGCACAAGTTTCTGACTGGTAGGAGAACGGCGAAAAAAAAACGTTTTCCAGCCCGCGGCCGGTTTTTTCTAGTCGTCATCCCGGGCGCCGCCGCGTGAACACGACCCCCGGTCATTTATCAACCGTCATCCTCCATTATGAAAGACACCGCGCGGGATTGCACTGCGTACCTGCGAAGCTGCTACACGGATGGGGGCGGCTCCCTTTCCGACGGGCCTCTCGGTGGACACCGCGCTGGGCCGCTGGTGGTCATGCCTTGCCGCAGCCCGCACACACTGGGCGCTCGTCACTCCAGGGGGGGGGGCGCCTGCCGCACTTTTGAGGGAAAGAACTGTAGGGACTCGTGAGGAGGGGGAGGAGGAGGAGGAGGAGGAGGAGGAGGAGGAGGAGGAGGAGGAGGAGGAGGAGGAGGAGGAGGAGGAGGAGGAGGAGGAGGAGGGAGGAGGAGGATGAGAGGGAGGAGGAGGGAAGGAGGAGAGGAGGAGGAGGAGGGGGGAGGAGGAGGAGGAGAGGAGGAGGAGGAGGAGGAGGAGGAGGAGGAGGAGGAGGAGGAGGCGGAGGAGGAGGAGGAGGAGCTCTTCCAGGAGGAGGAGGAGGAACAGAGTCATTCCTTCAACGTTGCAAGACAAAAGCGTGGCAGGTCCTCTTCGAATCGCCGCTCCGGTCTGCATGGCAGATCCACGGGGCGTCTCCGAGCTGGCAGACGGTGGGTGACTTGGATGCGGCCAGGCGCGGCTTTGGCATCCTCCGCCGTGATCTGCAGCGCTGGGATTACGTGGGCGATGTCGGAAACCCTGAACAACAAAGCGATTCCATCTCTTGGGGGCACATCGTTTCCTTCCGCCGCTCTCCGCCGCCGCCCTTCCGCCGGCTTCCGCCCGCGGAGGCGGCCTCGCTTTCCTGCCGCCGACCTTCCGCCGCGGCAGAGATGACATCTCCTCCTATCCTCGAAGGCAAGGCCATTTTTGGAACCTCCTCCTCCTCCTCCTCCTCCTCCTCCTCCTCCTCCTCCCACATAGAATTTCTCTGTTAGGGCAGTCCGTGTTGATGGGCCCGACAGCTTCGAGGGCTGCGGGGATGTGTCCTGCCTGCGCAGCTGTCTCCTGGCAGGCGGCCGCCTCCCTTTCGCGTCGTGGAGCGCGCTGCTGCTGGCATGCGTGCTGGCGGCGCGCGCAAGGGGGCCATAAGGGGGAGGAGAAAAAGGCCCGGGGGAGGCCTCTTGGAAGGAGGCTGCCTCTCAGAGGGCGCCGGCCTTGCATCGACAGAGGAGGCCCGCGTCTCCTGAGAAGCAGGAGTGCTTCCGAGAAGCCTTCTCCCCTCCCCCTATCCCCCTTCTGCGCGTGGCAGAGTATGACATGCCTCCTAAATGGGGCGGGGCCAGAGGATCGAGCCGCATCGCCGATACATCGGCGATGCATCGGCGATGCATCGGCGAGGCATCGGCGAGGCATCGGCGATGCACTGGCCATGCATCGGTGACGCCGACGTGAAGCAGATCGGGCTCCACATCGAG